ACCAGCTTGCATTCCCACCAGCAGTGTAGGAGGGTTCCCCTTTCTCCGCATCCCCGCCAACAACAGATGAAATATTTTTGATACTTCCTTCATATCACCTGTATTAATAGGTGACTTCTAAGTAACTTCTTCAAGGAAGCAAATCTCCAAAAAAAGGAAAATAGCCAAGATTGAGAACAATATAATTATCTTAAGTGGGACATATTTCCTTTTTTTAAAAAAAAGAAATGATATATTGTCTACTTTACTCTTGGCAAGAATAATATAATCTGGGAATTTATGCAAATGAAAATTTTATTTTATCAGCAATTGAATTATTTCATTCATTAAAATGTCTAGATAATTTAGAGCATGTTCTTGATCTTTATGCTTAAGAATGTGTTTGAAATGTTTTTCCCAAAGAAAATCCCAGCAGATGCATTATCACCAGACTTTTTCTCCATTGGAAGATCCTGGCTTTTTGATGAAGGAGTCTGGGTGAAGTTAAGGGAGGTATAATTGAAGTTGGGGAGGCAGTGGTGTGTTGATAAAATTTTAACAGCCAGCTGGAGAAGGAGAGCTTGTGGTATTTGCTTGTTTCCACTGTGTAAATAAATATTCTCACCTCGGCCAATTTCAGGCTACCAGGCTGCTTAACAACTAGCTCTTAAAAATACTGCAATGGGTTCTCCTGGACCAGTACAGGATGGCTTCAGCATACCACTTGGTGGGGCAAGGTGATGGTGCCCCCACCTTTGTGGGTCAGTCCATTAGTTCCAAACAACTTTTTTCTCTTCCCTAATTCTTTGGACTTCCCTATTCTTAGGAATGTTTTTTTCTTAGTACTATATCATCAAGGATGTCATTTCATTAATGATCATTGTTAATAGAGCTGGAATCCATAGTTCATTTCAGAAAGTCACCAACTGAAAGTACTAGTTAAAACTTCATAATTTGAGAACTGACTTATAGTCCTTACAATATTGAAATTAAGTTGCTATAAATATAAAGCTTGTACTTTGGGGGGAAAATAGTAAGTTTTATTAATCATGAAAAAAATCTGCATATTTTCAAATAGAAAACCAAAATATGTATTTTTGATTGGTCTTGACTCTTTCAAAAGAGCCAATCTTGTACAGAAATCCACAGACTTTTCCTTTTGTCTCCAACTTACTCTTTTCCTCCTCAGATGTAACCTGTGTTCCATTTCAGGTATTCAGTAACTTTTTTCTTCCCCCTGCTTTCCTCCCTTAAGAACCTGTCAAGTCCTACTAACCACACTGGATTCTTAAACAACCCAGAGGTTAGGGGCACTGACACCTACAGAGACAAAAATCTGCATACAACTTGTGACTCCCCAAAAACTTACTTTTAATAGCCTATTATTTACCTGAAGCCTTACCAATAACATAGTCAATTAACACATATTCTCTATGGTGTATGTATTATGTAATGTATTCTTACAATAAAGTAAGCTAGAGAAAAAAGTTACTCAGAAAATCATAAGAGAAAATACATTTACAGTACTGTACTGTATTTCTCTAAAAAAATCTACATGTAAGTGGACCCATGCGATTCAAAGCCATATTGTTCAAGGGTCAAATGTAGTGACTTTTACTTCTTACTTGAAATTCATTTGTACTAAAGTGTGCATTCAACCTGGGGGTTTTTTAATCTCTAATTTGTTCACTGTGGTTCAAGAATCACTAAGCATTTAACGAGAGTGGAAGCCTGAAAACCCACCAAGCCTTTTTCTACAGCTTCGCCCTAAAGATAAACGTATTTTGTCAAGTTAGGAGATTATTATAGAGTTCAGGAGGGAACTAAACACAAAAGTGGCAGGCATTTGTCTTTCCCATTGACTTCTTCCTCCTGGGAAGATCACACAAGTGTCTGGTCCCATTGAAGCTGCATTAGGTATAGTCTAAGAAGCTGCTAGTTCTGTAAGGTCTTGGGATCCAACCTGCCTAGTGACCTCTCTCTATTGGCTGGGATTCCTTTTCTCTGTTCCACACCCTTCTCTCCCACTACACATTCACATCAAGTCATATATACTGTTTTGGACTTCACATTAAACCTTTTTGGTGGGGGCGCCGGGGGGGTGGTTCCCAAAGGAACATGTGACTTTGTTTTCTTAAATGCTATCAGATAGAAAAAACCAACACATTCTTTTCAGCGTTTTCAAGTATGGGAGAAAAATGAATTTCCATGTGCAAATTTTCACAAATGTCATGGTCAGGCTGTCTCACACATGATAACATGGGGGAGATGATGATGATACATACACTTCATATATTACATATGTAACAAAACTTTCACCCCTGGTAAAAACAAAATGAATTCACTAGATGAATTATTCTTTGTCTTTATAATAAATTATGTACCCTGAGCATTTAGTAAACACATAAGAGATCTTCTCTAATTTTTTTTTCCCCAAACAGATACGTGATCAAGGACCCAAAAAGAACTCAGTTATCCACTTGGTAATTATTAAGTAATCTGTTTCTTTCTGTCTCAGAGAGAAAAATCCCAGATGAAGATTTCATCATCCTAATTGATGGATTAAATGAAGCAGAATTTCACAAACCGGATTATGGGGACACAATTGTTTCATTTCTGAGTAAAATGATTGGAAAATTTCCTTCTTGGCTCAAACTAATTGTAACAGTTAGGACCAGTTTACAGGTATGTGTTTGTTTGCTTTGGGACCATATATTATTTCTCTTGGAGAGTGCTTAAACAGAAAAAGTTCTAGATCCTTGTTCCTTAGTGATGAGTTTTTTTAAACCTCTACCATGTCTTCGAGCACTAGCAAGAATAATTCCCAAAGAGTATATTTTGAGAGTGAGAGATCAGATGATCTAAGTCCAGTCTCTGTGTATGACTGTCTTAGTTCAGATTCCCATTTCCATTGCTCTGGTTTTCATAAAGTGTCCCTCAAAATAACATGAAAAGAAGGTCCATTTTTCTAGACTTTGTCCTGAGCACAGCAATGCAAATTATATCCCTAACACTCTAATTTGCTGTTTGAGTTTTGTTTTACTTTTTTTTTTATCATGTAATGCCATGTAAAACCCAGTTCTGTCTGCCATTTAGAGTCGGATTTCTCCTTCCCCCCCTCTGCTTCAACTGAAACAACTTTTCTATAATAGGACGGTGTATACCTTCCTCTAAGAAATATTGGCAGCATTAAGGCTTTAGATTAAATGTACTACAACTGGGAGATAAGATTTTTTTTTATCTTTTTTACCTTCCACCCTCACTCACTGATCACTTAATGGCCTAGAAGAAGGACTAGAAATGTGGGACTGAGCCTGCAAAGACATATGGGCTAAGGGTAAATGACTTCACCTCATCCCTCACAAGATTACATAAAACCTTGTTCTTGTTGTAGCTGAGTTGGTATCCCCTATTCCTTACATATTCATACTTGGTTTGGAACAGTTTCTCAACCTTTTTTTGCCTAACCATTGCCTTGTTTGTTGAGCATCAAAGTCTCACAATATTACACACCTATCCCACTATTTCGATATAGCCCGCTTGTAATAATTACTAGTGTACAGAAAACAGTTTCTCTCTCCCAGGGACTTAGGAGTATTCCTGCATGTTGACCAATTAGCTTTGCTGCCTTCTTTGATCAGAAACTATACTTATAATGCTGGCCACCACCTTGCAGATGTTTGTTGTTAATCTCAAAGTAATTTAAATTAAAGAATGTGGATGAATCAATGTAAATGCATCTTTACAACTAAAAATTATGTAATCTCTTACTGGTCAGTAACTGGATTGTTAAAGATCAAGGATGAAAAGAAGAAACTTCCAGGAACACAATCTCTGACTAGTTTTACTAAATGTATGCTTAGGAGATGTTATCCTCATTTGTATTTTTTACATAATGCCATGTGCAGTCTCAAAAGACATTTTAAGTATGACTTGATGAGCAGATGACTTCAACTTTTCAGCTATGCCAAGGATAGGAAAAGTACTACTATACATATTAATCTACAAAGTCAAAATTTCAGTGTCCTCATAAATCAAGACCTGTATAACTTCCCAGATACTTCATTCACTTCAACCAAGAATTTTCTTATTTTCATTCAGCTCTGACAGTGAAATAATTCACAGGTCTTTAAAAAAAAACCCTCATATTTGATAATTCATTATTTCCACAGACATTTCTTAAGTACTTCAAGTGTGTCAGGCACTTTCTAGGAGCTGAAGATAGAGCAGTGAACAAGACAAACTATATCCCTGCCCTCATAAAGCTTATATTCCAGTGAGGAACACAAACAGAAACTAAGTGAAAAATTAAATATATATTAAAATTTTAGGTAGTATTGGTGTTCTGAAGACAAATAAAATAGGATAAACAGATAAATGGGAATGATAGTTATTTTAGATAGGACCATGGGAAAGCCCTCTCCCAGGAGCCTGGCAAAATAATGGGATCTGATTTACCTTTTTAAAAGATTTCTTTGGCTGTTGGCCACAAAGATAATAAAAGGTAGGGGATCAAGAATAGGAGCAGGATGGGCGAAAGGCTTAGACTAGAGTGATCATGGTAGGGGACCCTGTGAAGTGGTCATATTTGGAGCTTAGACTAGAGTGATCAGTCTAGTATCACAGGGTAGGGACCCTGTGAAGTGGTCATATTTGGACTATACTATGAAGGAGAATCAAAGGGACTTAATGATGGGCTGAATGTGGGATGATCAAGAAAGAAGATTCAAAAGCAAAACATGGGATTTGGGTGCACAATTGGGTAAATGCCGGTATGAGGAAAAGAGAAAGATCACAGGAGCCTATAATTTGGTGGTAGGGTTGGTGGTAATGCGGTTTATTGACATGGGAAGGTTTTGTCGCAGGGGGCAAAATTCATTAGTTCTGATTTAGTCATGTGAAGTTTGTCTGTACAACATCCCAATGTAAATGTCGAGTAGACCAACGTATATGATGAGAGCTCAGGGGAGAGGACTAAGCCGGAAACACAGGTTAGGCCTCAGCCAGGCAAAGTGAAAATTACATAAAACCTTGACAAGAATCATTTCAGTGAAATGAGGTGGTGTTGAATCTCATTGCAACAAAGAGAGGACAGAATGGGAAGGAGGAACAAGAGATAGGAAGTAGAGAAAACTCTTCTGTGAAGTTTTGCTAGAAATGGGGACAGAGATTTAGGATAGTAGCTGGGGGGAGGGTTTGTGGTGCCATTCGTCTGTGTGATCCAGTAAAGAAGAAGAAATTGATGCAGAAGAAAGAGGATACTTGCAGGACCAAAGTCCGTGTGCAGATAAGATGGAATCCAGAGCATAAGTAACCACAAAGCTCTATCACCTTTCCCCAGTATAATTTCCAAGCAGATCACCAAGGTACCAAGCATATTAGAAGTATTCCTTTAGGCTAAGTCATCTCCAAAAAGTCTTCACTAAAATGTAGTCATCTTATTAGGAAGGTTATGAAAGGCACATTTTTATATGGTGTTCTTTAAGTCCTCGTGCATTTCTCTTACTGAATTGTACCTTGATGTTATGCCATGGTTTACACCGAGATTACAACAAAAGAGTTATATGGCACTCCACTTTCTATTTATGTTAGAGGTGTAATTTAGAATATTGACCATTAAATCACTCCTAAAGTACCTTTTGTGAAGACTGATAAAAAATTATCTTAAGTCTCAGTGTTAGGAAAAGTTGTGTCCCCTCTGTGCAACAAATTTGTTTTAACCTATGCATACTAATACTTGATCATATTTCCATCTTCGGCCACTTGGAAGTTTAGAATAAATGTGTGGACCTCAGAGTGTATCACAAGAGTTAGGGGAAACTGAAGGTCTTTCTGTCTCTCTCTCTCTCTCCATCTGTTTTAGGAAATTACCAAGCTGCTGCCTTTCCATAGGATATTTTTGGATCGACTAGAAGAGAATGAAGCCATAGACCAGGATCTGCAGGCTTACATCCTGCACCGGATACACAGCAGCTCAGAGATCCAGAATAACATTTCACTTAATGGCAAAATGGACAATACTACATTTGGCAAACTCAGTTCTCACCTCAAGACCCTCAGTCAAGGGTCCTATCTATACCTGAAACTCACATTTGACCTCATAGAGAAAGGCTATCTAGTGTTAAAGAGCTCTAGCTACAAAGTAGTTCCTGTTTCGCTCTCTGAGGTTTATTTACTCCAGTGCAATATGAAGTTCCCAACCCAGTCTTCCTTTGACCGGGTGATGCCTCTCCTGAATGTGGCAGTGGCCTCTCTGCACCCACTCACTGATGAACATATCTTCCAGGCCATCAATGCTGGTAGCATTGAAGGCACCCTAGAATGGGAGGATTTTCAGCAGAGAATGGAGAACCTCTCCATGTTCCTAATCAAGCGCAGAGACATGACTCGTATGTTTGTACATCCTTCTTTTCGAGAATGGCTTATCTGGAGAGAAGAAGGAGAGAAAACCAAATTTCTCTGTGATCCCAGGTAAGCCATAGACCTGTAATAAGCAATTCTGAGCCTATTTTGTATTGATTGCATGGAGCATGGGTATTGAAAGCAGTGAGAAGTGTTCTTCATTGAACATTTCACACAAAGGAAACATCATCTCTGTTTCTTCTCAAGACAAGGCTGTAATGAGGTTAATTTATTTTCTCACAATGTTATTTCCATAAGACTCAAAATCTGCATAGATATTTAGAATACCCTCCTACCTTTCTATATAGTCCTAAATAATTTTCTTTGTGCTAGTGAACCCAGGCTATAATTAATTTAGCCATTTCATAGACTTCCTCAGTGTTCTTCCGATATGAAGAATTGATATATTGTTCATCTCTTTGACTTAAACCAGAAACATTTTAAAATTGCAGTTGCCCTTTTAAAAGTCATACCATTTTTAAAGCCACCAGTGACTAACCCCATTAAAGCCCATCCAGTGCTAAGGTTTATGCTGGAAAAAGAAATCTTAAACCTCACAGCTGAAACAGACCTGAAGAGATCAGCTGGCCTAGCTGCTCTCCCTGTAGATGAAGAAGTTGCCATTGTGCCCATTTTACAAAGGCCTTAAGATGCTGAATCAGTGCCAGAAGTCATCAAGTTAATAGGTAGGAGAAAGGAGGAAGAACTAGAAAAAGAATGGCAGGTGTGTGGTATGTACCGCCTTTCCCCTGCCCTGCAATCATGCACGCCCAACACTCTTGCCTGATGAGCTTGACCCTGACTTAATCTTTCTCAGCTCAACAAGCCAGACTAGGTGTGAAACTGTTTCCCATTCTCTTGGGTAGAACCTAGATCTCTAGCATCCTAGTGGGGTGTGCTTTCTACTCCACACTGCCTTTTTTAAAAGAATTATTCCTTTAACAAAGTTGGTGTTTTCATATATCCCTGCCTTCCGGGAAACAAAGAAGACACCAACAACATAGCTGGCAAATGCAGAGCTTATTCTGGCTCAGAAAGGAGAGAGGCCAAATCTGTGCCTCCGACCGTGACTCATCAGAGAGACTAAACCTCTCTGACCACGCTGGGGTTTTATTTCTCTTCTGGCGTGTTCTTCAGCCGGCCTTATTGAACACAACTGTGCTTGTGGGCATGCTGCTCAGCCTACTACATGCCACTTTGTTAGAAAATTAGTTCCAGATTCTGATGAAGATATTAAGCCAGGCAGTAGATTCTGTGGTGTTTTCCCTGAGAGAGAAACTTTTAAAGAAACAAGCTATAGTGGAAAAAACATGGGTTTTTGAGTCATTACCTGCATATAAATTCTATTTCTTCTAGGAACTGTGACCTTTGGAGAGTTTTATGTTTCTGAGACAATTTTCTTATCTATGTAAAAGAGATAATTCCTAAAGTTGTTGAGAACTAAATGAGGTCATATATAGTATAATACGTATACTTAAAATAGCACAGAGTACAAAGAAAGTGTTCAAGGAATGTTCTTCCACCCCACCCCACCCTTTGCACCCTTTTAGATATACCTTAACTAAATCCTGTGGCTAATTGGATAGGCAACAGTAGTCCTCTGCTATTAGCATTCGGGGGCCCAATATTAAAAAAAAAAAAAAAAAGTCTGAGTCTCTTCTATGAATTGTATGACATTCCCAAGAGTATTTTATTATAAATCCTACTAGTACTGCTACTATGCTAAATACATAGAGTTGGAAACCACATATTTAATAAAAAGAACCAATCTAGAATTGCCTCATGAACACTTTGAAATCAGTTTTCAGAGAAACTTTGCCACTTGCTCTCTCTGTCTCTTCCTGGAACATCTCAGAGAATTGAATGCTGAAGTCCAAGGCAGCCAGGCTCCCACTGAATTAACAGTGTCCTTACAACAGATAAAACCCTCAGGGGCTCCCAAAGGAGAAAATATGGCATTTTGCAGCCATATCATGACTTTACAAGCTTACCTTCTCAACATGACTTATTAACCAGAAGCGTTTTGGCAACAAGCTGATACACTGGGACAAGCAAACACTTCTAACTTCAGATGCTGTGTGGTCTGTTCCCTGGTGATTGAATAACACACAGAGCTGCTGAGGGATCATCATATATCACTTAATGGCAGAGAGAATAAAATAGTAGGACCAGGAGTTACCAAAAAAGCTTCCTTACATTTCATTTCAGTTGGAATCCAGCCTTCTATCCAGCACTATCTGGCACCAGCTTTGTTACCAAAGTATTGATCTCAGAGTTTGAGACCCCCCCTGGGTCAATGAGATGGAAATTCACTAAGAATTTAATGCTATGGCCAAAGCCCAAGCTGGCCTTTCAAAGAAACTGGCTCTAATTGCCTTCCATTTCAGGCAGGTCTGAGTAGCCTGACTCTTTCAAAGCAGGGATTGTCTTTGTGGTCTTCAGCCTCTCCTTCCTGTACATTCCCCCACTGCTCTTCTGTTTCTCCCCAGTTTCTCTCTAGAGCATCACACGTATTTCCGTAGACCAGAGAGACCAACTCTGTGCCTCTGAAATCACGCTGTGTAAGCCAGTGCTGACAGGCCTGTCTCGGTGTAAGGAGAACTCTCAGAGGCAGCAGAACATCTCTGTCTCTTCTAGTCCATCTTCCTCGGCTTTCAACACTCACTCATTCACCCTGAACTAGCTGACCTTATTAGGGAATTAGACACAGACGAGAATATTCTATACTGAAGCCAAAAAGTAGTTGATCTTCATCAGAAATAGGCCACCCACGGAGGTACTTCTGCTAAGCTGAAGAGAGTCAATAATCTGAGGATGGTGCTGGAAAGAGGAAATAGCAGAGCCAGAGGTCAGTGCTACAGCTGAGATAGAGTTTTCCTTATTTTAAATATCAGACGGCCTGTTGTCCCAGGATGTCAGAGAGCTGACATCCCAGAGAGAATGACCTAATGTTGCATAAACATATAACTGTCACAGAAAGAGATGAGTTATAGATGTCTTTTCTCAGCTTGGTAACAGGATGGGTGTGTGTGGGTGTATCAAACTGTGAGCAGAACATCACTGAAAAATTTTTTATCACATCAGAACTTCTAAAACTTTGGATTTGCATTCTGGATGAAAATACGCCTCTTGAAGCCCTGACAAACGTTAGACCTCACCACCTTATCCTGCTTTCCATTTCCCACTATTCATCACTGTCATATCCTGTCATACTCTGAAATTAATCCATTTTATATTTTATTCCCTCGGGCACTGAGATATCAGATTAACTCACTAATCTTATAAACTAATCTCTGCTATTATGCTAATAAGAGGGAGATAGAAAACACATCTGAAGCGACTTGTGCATTTCAAGTAAGGCGTTTGAGAAAACAAGTCATCGGTCTTTGTTATCTAACCTATTGATGACTTTGATAGTTGAAATCTGAGGCTGGGAGAGTAAACAGCTGGGGGCTGCTGGCCCTGTGCAACTTAAAATTTCTGCGGAGTGTTAGGCTAGCCCTGCATGAACCCCCACCCTTTTTTTGTTTCCTTTCTTCACTATCTTTGTCTTCATGGTATCTAGCCTCCCCTTCCATAGGAACAGATCACAGATCAAATTTTATGTATATACATATATAGGAATATATATGTAAGATCTTTATATAAAGATCAGAAGACTCAGTTGCCTTATTTTTAAGTGTTTGAATAAAACACATGAGGCTTGTGAACTTTGTTGAGTACTGAACTGCTACGACCTAATGAAATTCTGATTTGGGAGCCTGATTTGGGTTGACCTGATTTCCTCAAACTAAGAGAAGCAAACTTTATGGCAGGTGAAAAAGGGGGGGGAAGGGCTACACAAATCCTGTTAGGGTAGTTGAGTATTTGCTTGACTCTCTGTGACTAGAGTTGACATCTTATAATACATGGTCTGTTGAGATTTGTCCTAGTTATTTTGGTCATATTAGTCCGTGAGTTACACATTGGAGACCTGATGCTCCAAAATCCATGCCACAAAGCAGACTGTCAGAGAATAAGCAGTTTTCCTAAGGCAAAAAGAAGGCATTCCCCCTAAAAGGGAAAACTACTTTGTGCAGAGGACCTGCACAGCCTGCCTTCTTATAGAATACATGGGTCTGAAATAACCACAGAATGGTGAGTTGCAGAGTTAAGGTGATTCTGATTGTTTTTTTTTTTAAATCACAAGGATTTTTTTTATTATGTTAATCACCATACGTTACATCATTAGTATTTGATGTAGTGTTCCCTGATTCATTGTTTGTGTATAACACCCAGTGCTCCATGCAGAATGTGCCCTCTTTAATACTGTTTTAATCCAAACATGAGCCTCCAGGCAGGATGACATTTAACCTTGCCCTCGCTGAAGCACAAACTCTAGGTTACTACTGATAGCCATTGCAGGCTCCCGTAACAAACCCTTAAATTGGGAATAGGTTCTGCTTTCCAAAAGCATTAGGAAAGAATTCAGCAAAGTGATGGATCATGGGAAGGAAAAAAGGGTCTGGAACCACATCAGCCCTTAGGAGGTTTGGAAGAGTTACTTCAAGGAAAAAGGCAATGTACATCCTTTACTGGCACTTGACTATTAGTAGATGATCTTACCTGCCTGGAAATATTAACTCTCTAATCTCTGTGCTGGGTCTGCATCTGCTACACTTCTAATTCCTTTCTATCACTGAGGGGAAATTAGTCTTCTGATGTTACAATTTGCATGTGTACTTTCCAAGGAGAGATTTCATTGATATGTCATATTATTAGAGATTTGTCTAACTTGCCAATAAGTTTTTTCCCTTATTATCTAATCCAGTTTCTGACTCCCTATTGGCATCAAGAATAAATGTGGGACTCACATCTGAAATATTACTCTGGTGACCTAAGGTCATGGTTTTGTGATTTAATTTAGCAGGGAGAAATTAGATGAAATCTAATGTATATCTTGGAATATGTCCAGTTTGCCAACTGCATGAATGTCCTTCAACTTTACATATTTGTTCTCTCTCCATATAAATCATGGAGCCCACATCTATTAGTCAAATAGGCATACTGTTCCCACCTTCAAGACTCTT